CGGAGCCTCTCGGCAGCTTCAGCACACCTGTGAGCGGGTCAGAGTTCACACTGAAACACTGATATTCAGGACGAGTTGGCGGTCGACCTACCCAGGATCTTGCAGACGCTGTCACAGTTCTGGGAGATTTCATTCAGCCACCTCTTAACATTTACGAACGACTCTGGATTTGTCACGTCGTAAACGATGATGACGCCGTGGGTGTTTCTGTAGTACCTGGGGACACGTGAAGCGGAATAAACTGATGACCTCAGCGATGACGCTGCAGTGCGCTGCACGCAGCCATTCAAAGAAACTCGGGGGAGAAAGTTTCAGAGATCATTACGTTGAGGTGATGGTTCGAAACCTCTCCTGCCCCGCCGTGTCCCAGATCTGCAGCTTCACCCGCTCCCCGTCGATATCCACCGTCCGGATCTTAAAGTCCACGCCGATGGTGGTGATGTAGCTGCCTGCACGAGACGACACGAGAGAGAAAAGAAAAGCCAGAGTGAGGCAGACGCACTGCACAGCAACGCGAGTGCAGACACACTGCGCACGCCTGTGTGGAGTCAGTTTAAAGTTAAATACTGTGTGTGTGTGTGTGTCACAGAAGGTAACAGAACAAAATAGAAACAAATCCCTGCAGTTTGACTTCATCTTCAGTGAAACCGACACAACTATAACCTGTCATTGTGAAAGGTCGCAAGGTCATTAATTTCCCACTTTCAAAACCTGCTGATGAGCCAACCGGAGAAAAACTGACTTAACAGGGGAGGGGCTATCGGCTTGTTTCAGACAGGATGAAGCCTGTCTGAAACAAGCCTAGCACGAGATAAGTGAGTAATCATGCAAAGCTGCTTTAATCCAAAAACATGGAGGGAACGAGCAGAATCGGAGCACTTTAACATAAAAACTGATTCTGCCTAAAGCGCTGTGCAGCTGTGGTGGGAGCACAGACTCGACATGTGACCAAATCTCAGGGTTTTCCACCAATCAGGACGCATTATTGACTGACGCAGTGCCCAATCAAACACGTTTCACGCCAAAAAGGTGGAACGTGTTTGAATGGTCACCACAGAGGTCCCGACTCTAGAGCTCAAGCATCGGTGCCGTGTTGGTGGAAAGTTCTTTGGCTACATGTGACCATGAACTGGCACCTGCATGACCCCAGGAGGGTAACTCACCCCTGGTTGGGTCTCCTAAGGAGGTCTTTCATGGGAGAGCGCCTGAGAGCCGGGATCTTAGCCATTGAGGCACAGCTGTGGACAGCCCACCTCTTGTGGGAGGGGCCGTAGGGGTTCAGTGCTTTGTGAATCGTGCTGGGGAAGCAGCTCAAACGAGCCTGACAAGTATCAGCTAGTTGTAGTCTTAAGCTCTTACAGCACACTGGGTCTCTCTCTGCAGCTGTTCTGGGTCTACGTCCAGGCCATGCTCACCAACCTGGACACCATGACACTGGAACGCATAC